ACAGAAACAAAGAACAGAGTACCATATGTTCTCATTTATAAGTGGACCTTGAACAATTATCATAATACAATAAGAAAGGGATTGGCAGTAGTGGGAAACTGCCGGGGGGTGGGTGGGATTGCAGTTGAGGGAAACTGCCAGGGGAAGGGTACCCCATCTCTTTACAATAAATTTTCTTAAAGTGAATATTCACACAGTCTTTAAATACCTCTGCACAGCTCACTTACTAATTACAAAGGGAAATTGTTTCTTCACAATGAGGAGAGGGGAAGACTACATCTTAACCATGTTCAAACTTAACAAAACCAGTAATGAAACAGCTTGACGTTATTGCCACCTAATGTGACATAATACACATCCTTACCCACACTACCCTCTTGCCAAAAATGGCTAATCATGAGAAGCAATCAAATGAATCCAAAATGTAGGACATTTCATGTGACAATTGACATATAGAGATTTCCCAAAAAGTCACTGTCATTTAAAAAAAATGACTAAAGATGTTTAACAACCAAATAAATTTGTCAATCTTGATTGGCTCTTATGTTGAAAAAAATATGTCTATAAGAAATTCTGGAGACAATAAAGTAATTTTAAACATGGACTGTCTATTAGATGATACTACAGTACTGAATAAATGTTGACTTCCTTAGGTTTGATGCTGGTGTGGGTTATACAGGAGATTGCCTTTATTCTTTCCTCAGCATGGAAAGGAGAAATAACATACCTCCAACTTTCAACTGGTTCAGTAAATGTGGCAAAATGTCAACAGTTGGTAACTCAAAGTGTTAGGGGTGTTAATTGTACTGTTGTTTCAATCACTCTGTAGATTTGAAATTTTGTAAAATAAAAAAGCTGGGGAAAAACAAGCATGTAGGATGGTTTGAAGAGGGAATTTATTGGCGACAGTTTTAGTTAGAGAAAAAGATTCTACCATTTTATCTTTACCATATAAAATTCTGCCACCACATTAAAACAACTAAACCTATCTGACCAAATGTTTACCTTCAATTAAGACTATGAAATTTGACACCACCCCAAAAGTAGGGGGCAGAGAAATTAAGCCAAAGTCCTAGCAATACATTTTAGCAGGTCTTGGTTGCTGGTGAGAAGTTAAATACATTCACCAACTCACACATTGCTGAGTTGCTCGCAGCTTTTCAACCAGAAAAACATGGATCAGCAGCCATTTTGCCAGTTTCCTGGGTGGGTACCTAAATCAGTTGCACAGATATGAACACAGTTTCATCCATAAAATGTCTCAAAACTTTCTGCTGTATTTTATTGTTGCCATTTAAATGGCAAAGCAGATTTTATTAGCCAATGCTACCTTTAGATACTTCAAACATGCAGATAGATAACTTCTTCAATGTCAGCTGAGGTATTTTTGACAAAAATAGCCACAAAATGGATGAAAAATGAAATCATATTGATAGTAACCTGCCCTTTTCTGCAATTCTAACTTATTTTGAAGGTGTCATGTAACTCTCCTTAATGTGGCATCTGGATGTTCTTGGAAATGTAGTCTTCATTCTTACACGAACTGCTTATCAGTTTAACATTTTGCAAAATCAGCATTTTCATTTATACGTTGACTACAGGAAATCTATTTCCTGGCAAAAAAAATCATTGATTGTTTATAAGTTTCTACATCCTTAAAATAACTGAATACAAAAATAAGGCTAAAATACTTTTAAATTCAAAAAGACAATGATGCAAGCTAGCTATGAAAAAGAATTACTATAGTTGTCAACACACTTTTTACTAAAATAAATACTCATCTCTTTAGTTTACTATAAAATAGGCTTACTTTATTAAGAACTCTCAGAACCTACCACCTAACTCCAGTCAGAATGGCAATTATCAACAGCTCAAAAAATAACAGCTGCTGGAGAGGGTGTGGCGCAAAGGGAACACTTCTACACTGTTG